CTACTAGATTTTGTTAAATGAGTTTAAATCTAGATAAGCCAAAGCAATTATCTCACAGGTAAATAATATCTACATCATCCCAAAAAAACTGTTAACGTACTCACCCAAATGATGCTACTTGCCATAGTATAAAACAGATTTCTTGCTAGCGTATCCACAAAGTTGAACAGGCTCTGGCAATACTGAAGTTCACAGCAGGGGCAATCGTTTCATTAATTTGGTGTAAAAAAGGATTTGGTACATGATTAGGAAAATATTTACTACATATGTTGTTCATTTTACTATATTCTAGCTGATCTATTCGGCTAGATTATATAATATATTATCTAGCTGATACTATTTTCTTAGTTCAGTGTTTTTAAACTTTTTGATTAAAGGACTGTCAAACATTTTTGGAGAAAAAATGTGAAATAGCCATCTTGTGTTGAACTTCTTGTGGTACGTGTGTCTGAGAAGAAAGACTTTCACCTAACAATGTTACTGTTTTACAAAACTGTATTTTTTTGTGTTATATATGGTTTATATATATGGTGTGTGTATATATATGGTTTACAGCATCAATACTCTTTCTAGTAGAGGCAATATGAAATTATTGTACTACACACTGCAGAGGCAATATAATTTCAGCCCACCTAATAGCTTCCTATAGATAAGGAGATCCTCCATTTCTCCTCTTTCAGTGTATCTCACCTTGCTGCTGGCTGTGTAAAGATTGTATCACTTCTCATATTCATCTTTCTTTGGCTCAACAAGTTGACTTGGCTCAACAAGGGGTGTGAAGACCACTATCTTCAGTGCAAAGGAAGAAGGGGGACAGCACAGCCAGGAACAAGAAGGCAGGCAGACACAGGACTGTATCCTTTCACTGAAGGTAAGCAGTTAGTTCAGCTTAGCTGTAACATGTAACCTCACCTTTAGAATAACTCAATTTTATGGCAACATATAAAGCAAAGCTATCAGATTATCTGTGAAGCAAATAAACAGGTCCTGTGCAAGTGAAAGAACAATCTTCACCTAGAGAAATGGAAGGATTCTAAAATGACTCAAGTGCTTTCATACAAGCTCTTTATCGGCGCTTGTCACTTCTATGAACGTGAACCTCAACAGGATGCTGCTCTTTCCTTTGAACCAACTGGCTGTCAATGCCAGGGAGCTTTGAAAGGTTGCAGTTACTAGGCACTGGGTGCCTAGTTTTACCGTATATGACATTTATTGGAAATATGCTAGACTGTACAGTTTAACTGCAAATATAGACCACAACAGACAGATCAGCAATTTTGTAGGAAATGGTGGTTAAAGTTTTTTCTGTTTTTTCCAAAACAAATAACTGGTGTACATTTATAGTTAACTGCCATATGACTGAACAGGTGCTGACACCCGTTGTCAGCAAGAATACTTCTCAGGTAAATCAAGCCTTTTTAAAAGTAATTAATTTCTATTGCTGACTGAAGAAAGTGGTATTATTTTAGCGTTCATATAGACACATTTCAGTGTCATAGTAAATTTAGGATTTTGCTTTCTTCCATGGGAGCAGCTGTCATCTTTTCAGGTTGTCAGAAGCAGTACTGTGCAGAACACGAGAGTAACAGGCAATTAGCAAGGTGCACAAACACAAGTCATTAACAAGCTTATAGTGCAGCTAGACAACTACACAGCATTGAAAACATTAAAAACCCTATAGATCTGTTCTTAGAATGCCTTGCAGTTACGGTAAAACAAGTGAGTCCGTTATAGTGCTGCTTTAGCCATCCTGAGCCTGTTTAAATCAAGAAGTGAAGGACAAGGTGAGTGTAATTTACAGTAAAAAAAAAATATCTTTGCTAAGTTAACACCAAAATCCCACCACTGGTATGGCCAATTCTTACATCAAACCTGAGGAAAAGTGATTTTTTGCATTCCTTGTTTCAGGTTTTAGATACAAATCAGGTAAGCATTTTCATTCGGAAGTCTGTCCATAGGCATATGGCTATGTCCATACAAAGAGCTGAGAATTCAAGAGCACTGTGTTTCTATTAGACCCAGCATATGACGCAAGTGTTCAGTCTCAACAGAATAGGGCATTAAGCTTGCCAAGACCTCAAACTTCCAGCTACTGCAATTTAAACTTCTGGTTTTAAGCTAACTGTAATAGCATTTCTGGAGGCAACTTGCTCTAGAAGGGTGCTCTGGGGACTTGTAGCATGTCCCTCCTCCTCGCAGACATCCTTAGTAGCTGTGTTGGAGTACTTAAGGGTCACAAGGACACAAGAAAGTCATCCAGAATAATTAAGACAATAAACAGCGAGGAAACTTAATGATTTATTACTAAGAACTTCAGAAGGTGAGCAGTGAGAACAAAAGATTTAACAGTGCCATCTTAAAATATTCTCCAGGCCATTGAGCTCTGGCTCTAAAGCTTACTCACTTCTGTTCTACTGCTCAGCGAAGTTATGTGGGCGAGTTTGAGGTTTTTCTTATTTAAAAGCCTGAATCTGCAGATAAGGTAAAGCACGAATCCATTTAGGCAAGCTGAAGCAGGTAGGGATCCACCAGAGACCATGCCACTGATTTGTTCACGTCATATTCCTCCACCTCTGCCCCTTCCATCCCCCTCCCCTCTCCCTGGTCCTTTAGCTTTGTCCCTCCAGCTGCAGCTCCTTCCTCTTACCCACCTCCTCCATTCCCCCTAGCCACCAAAACACACAACGCTAACTGCAGCATCGGTGCATTCATCTGTAGCACCCTGCACTCCTCAGAGCATTGCCAGCCGTGACACAGCCCTGCAGTGCACTGCAAAATTGATCCACAGCAAACATGCGACTTGAAGTGGCTAGTGAAGAAAGTATCTGGGTGCGTGTGCACACCGAGCACAGTGCAGGATCTACTTCCTTCTGTGACAGGACACCACAGACTTTGCAATTGCTGCACACACAATCCCCACTCCCCCTAGGTGCAGTCTCCTATTGTGAGAATTGTGGGTAAACAGGCAAGCTGTTACATGACTGCAGGGACCCAAACGTTTTGTTCTTTTCTGCTCTCAACAATGGCGAGCATTAGATTCCACGTGCAGAGACACACTGCTTAACAGGTAACTGTAGCATACAACCCTCAGTCTGAGCAGATTGAAAATCTTTCTGCAGGATCTAGCAAACTGCAAAATCTGGTTGCTCGTTAATGTGTCAGATTTGCAGAAAAGCAGTTATTAAGAAGCAAAAACATCCACAGCAGCTGTAACTATGCATTTTAGGATATGAGTTTCAATAAAAGAAGCTATTAACTCCAGAGTTTTTCTTCACCCTCACCCTCCTCAGTTTAGGTTACTCACCTAGCAGTTAAACCAAAGAGATCAGAAAGTTTCAGGAACTAGCCAGTACTTGGATAAAATTTTATTTAAAAGTTCCACATACAGAAAGCCATATTCCCTGACAGAATGAAATGCAGACATACAAATAAAACAGAACAAAGAAAAATAATTATCTTGCCAGAAGTTGTTGAATGCTTGCAAAAATCAAACAGTAAGTTCTTTTCAGTGCAAGGGCAAACTGTGAGTTCACACTATATAGTCCTTAGTGCAGAAAAATTAGGAAAAGAAAAGATTGACTTTAAAATGCCAAGTGATGCTAACGGCAAAACAAACATTTAAAATCAGTTGCAAGCATTGCATTTTAATCAGAAATGATGGTACTGTTTTGCAGAAGTTTCACATACACTTTTTCAATTGAAATGCCATTTCAGTTGCAATAACCTCCTGTAAAAGCATGGCAAACCTCAAAGATTTCAATTTATTAATGTAGTCTCAAAACATTTCTTTTTAGAAAAATATTCAGAATAGTTAAGTTTTCAGAAGCTATATATACCTGGATTTTTCCCCTACACAAATTTTACAGAAGATTGTGTTCCCATGTGTTTACCACTTAAAATAACCTCTGGTTCTCTATACAGCAGACGCTATTCAATAGGCAATTCTGATATAACAAATGGCATGTAACGTAAAATGTGCTGAAACAGGTGACATTACAGTTCTTAAAGGCTAAGAGAAAGTCTTGAAATTACTTGTAAGCTTAGAATCAAAATTCCAGGAAAAGCCTCTGGCACCGGGATACAGGCATCACCCAATTCAGGGCTGTGTCCTTCCATTTATCCTTTGTACTGAAGGAGCCTCACGGGACAGACAGCCGCTGCTGAAGTCAACAGCACTACCAGCAGACTGGTGTACTGTGTGAGCAAGGATGTCAAGGTCTGACCTTTAAGCTCCCACAGCTAATGACTGGTGACAGTACCAAGAATCTGCAGCGAGTACCATGAAACGAACACAAACTGCAGAAAACATTTTATTCTCAAGGTTTTAATTTAAAGAACCTTGTATTGTGAGCAAATCAGTTCAAAAGGTAAAAGACCTTCTGGAGCTTAGAACACTGTTTAAATTAAAGGACAACACCATATTCAGTTGATGTAACAGGTTATTTCTGGAGCGTGATCAAGTTAATGAGTGTATCATTAACATGCTTTAATATCACTTCCTCTTATGTTTAGGTATCTCTCTAGCCAACTTCATAAAAGTTTTTTCTGTCCTTTAAGTGGTTCTTTGAAATTTTGAAGTGAACATCTACTATTCTTAGATGCCTTAGCAGTTTGCAAGATATTAAGGCTCTATGCTTATTGTACCCCTTTATTTAATGGGCTTTTAGAAATGGAGATACTTATTCTAGAAGTTTAAGGTCAAATTTTAAGTTACTGCAAGCCCACCTCATTAATGTTGCATTTAGGAATAGAATTTAGGTCTCAGTAGATAAAAGACACTTTGTACGTTTTACCTACATCGACTGAAAAACAATTTGAGTACCATGTTAGCTCAACCAGTGAAGAAGCTTATAAAAAAATATTTTGTACATTCTTTTATATTTCAAGCATCAAGTAATAAACTTTCTATTAAACCAAGTTGTATCACACAACTGTCAAATATCAACAAACAGAACAATGCTGGAACAAACCATTCTGCTTAATTTTGGGCTTGGTCCCAAAAGAGGTAGTCCATAAGTCACACAAAAATAAAAATTCCACAGAAGTTAACCTAACATGCCAGTCTGCTCCACCGTATGCAGCCTCATCACTAAATGAGGCTATTTCATATCTGAAAACATTATAAGTTAGTGTTCATGTAAATACAGGAACTATACTTGAAAATTATTTCTTCATCTGTAACCGAAATTCGGTGCAGCTGAACCAATATATTAACTAGGCTTCGCGCATCAGTCTCATTAGGAACAATTCAGCTTTTCTCCAAATTAAATTTTATACTTACACAGGTATGCCTTTAAATAACAAAGGATACATGTATTTAGGTCCAGAGAGAAGCTTCAGATTGTTAAACCTTGTTAGTAGTACCGGTATATTTACTATCATTTCTCTACAAATGCTGCTGCTGCCATTGAATTCCTCATGGTTCCTCTTGCTGAAGCTGCAAACTCCTCAATTTCAGCATTCAGTCTATTAATTACCCATTCCAATGCTTCGCGGCCCTACAGTTAAAGAAAAGTTTATCAGTGTATAGATCTTAGCACATAAGTAAACAGGTTAAACCCTGTCTTACCGAAAATGACTAAAGACACTACAGCTGAAAAAGGAAGGAAAGGTACAGAAATACATGCCTCCGTGATATTTACTTCAGACTAGTAACAACCAGACTACTGCAGGAACATGTACTGCCCTACATTTCATGAAAAAATTCCTTATGTCAGCAGTGCTCATGTTATGAGCTACAAAAAACTTTTTATCCGGATTGTTTTATCATTCTTGAAGCGGAACTCAAGACCACTTTGGGTTCCCAGAGGACAGACTCTCAACTAGAACATCACTTCATTACTCCCACATAACTGCTTCAGATCTGTCTGGATACATATCCTTTCCCAACAGCACAAACTAATAGATGGCATCAAGAGGACAGCAAAAGAGCGACAGCAACAGACTGTGCAGTGAGTGGAGATGTTCTTCCAGTGAAGATTCAGAGCTTTGCCAATAATAATTCAGTATCTCCATTCACAAGAGGAAACAACAGAGGAAGTTCAGCAAGCTGAGCATTCAGTCTCTACGGTAAAGGCAGTACAGCTATGCAGACCCTTCCTAAGACTGTTGACAGAGCCAAAAAGTAAAACAGAGATTTTTATTCCCTTTGTCATTTAGCCGGTGGTGACACATTTTACACAAGGGTCATACTTACTTTATTAGCATTGGAGGAAATTGTATTTGCCATTAGCCCTTCTAGGTAACTGCTGAGACTGACACCTTTTACAGATATTATTGCTTCTTGTGTCAAAATGGTTCTGAAACAGAGAGCAGGAAACGGAATTATTCTGAGTAGTTTAAAAAAGAATGCATTGCTGCAAGAAACTTGCTCCTCCCCAACAAGTACATTCCCTCACCTGCTGTCTTGTATAACACAGAATTTCTTGCCCCATAAACACAACTCGCTTCCACAGTGCTTAACTGCTTTATGCTTCTACTCCTAAAATAAAACCCAAGAGTCCCCACTAAGTCCAGGTGTCCCTTTGTGGCACTCAACTATTTCCATCTTTAGCAGCAGCAAGTTAAGAGTGGAAACGGCAGATCTGGACTGAAGGTATACTGGGAAAACAGTATTAAGACAACCCCTTCAACAACCGGGATTTCGCATTTCTGACTGTCATGAGAGAAAAAAAACAACCCAACCCTCTTATGTTAGAATCCCTAGAAAGATCCTTCAAAATTATGACTTGTTCCGGGAGTACAGACTCGGCAAGCTCTAAAGTTGCCTTAAAAAAAAAAACCACCCAAAAACCAAACACCAAAAATTATAGACTAAACATAGATAAGTGTGCTTCCAGTGCACGTTCTGTGCTCAGGCTGCTGAAGAGATCGGAAATAAGGAGCCGATAACTGAAGATGTCTACAAACTCAGTTACAGAGAGGACACAGAACTCCCTGAAAAGCTGATCTGAACTGGACTGCATCATAGCACGACAGCACGTTTCCCAGTCGTGCTCTGCAGAAGCAATGTCACTAGAGAAAATGACAGTCCATTTCATTAGACAAGCTACCATAACAAAGGTGACGTAAACCTCATCTTCTGCTCAAGGGAAACCACGGGAATCCTCAAAGCCAAAGCCTGCGCTACTTCAGGGCAGTCTCCGAACAAAGAGGTACTCACTTGTCTGGTTCGTGAGGGTGCGGTTTATAGACAAGCCTCTCGTCTACTGACACTAGGTTTGTAAATGAAATCTGCAGGATATAAGGCAAGATTACCCCTTGATAAAAAACATTAAAGGAATGTAATAAATAAAACTGCAGATTCAAAACTAATGCTTATATCCGATTTAAACACTATACTTTTCCCACAATATCAGGGTTATAGAACAAGACAGACAGATCTAACGTCAGCATTTGCTGACGTAGTTCTCTTTCCTTAAGTTTTCTGATCATCTACCACAATTACCACATTTATAAGAACATGTCAACAGTGGGATGAGACAGATGGAGCAGTACAAAGAGCAAAACGTTACATGATCAGGAAACGCTGACAGTGTACACCAAATGGTTTTGACAATTTTTTTCTTAACACCCCCCCCACCCCCCCACTACTGCTGTCTTGCTCATCGCTATGTTCAGCTGCTTCTGTCCTGACCGGGTCCTTTCTGAAAACCAGAACCAGTCAGCCATAAACCCATTACTTAAACCTTTACCTTGGTATTGCTCTAACGCAATTTTCCAATAACTTTCAAGATTATTTTCCTTTCGAAATTTACAAGGAATTACTATAATCTGTAATCTATTTCAGTTGCCCACACACAGCTACTTACATTACTGGATCTAAGCTCCATTGTTTTTTTCACCGGGTCAACAACAGAGTGCTCCTGAACGTACGTCCTTGTTCTGCACGTGCCAATGAGCTAGACGACAAGGGGGGAATTAATTATGCTAACCAATCACGATTTTTTAGTGCCTTTAAATACACAGAGGTTATTGTATTGAACAGACACAGAGACAACAGAATTTGGCTTTAGTTTACCACAAAGCTATTCAGATGAGACAGATCTCATTTTGAAGACGGAAGCAATCCAAGACCCAGGCAGTTTCTGACTATCATCTAGCCACTGCGTGAACTGCTGCTGAGCTTTCCTGATATGTAAGTGCCTATGTTTCTAAACCATTAAAGTTATGAAATGATACATGTCTATTACAATGCCTGGTTCACACGCCCGCCCCGCCCTGCGACAGTGGGCCTACCGATTTCACAATGGAGGGGATTCCCCACTCGGTGCTGAGGAGCCTGTGGCTGTGCAGCTTCCCGCCAGGGTCCACGTGTCTGTCCAGGACGTCAACCCCCACCACGCTGGGGTTCATGGGGTTGGGGTACTTCTGCATGGCGGCCGTCGTCACCGTTTCCCAGGGGTGACTGCCAAAACACAATTGCGACACAAAGTTGTACACCTCCGGCGCCTAACAAGACTTCTGTTAAAACTGAACGCAACGCATCAATTGTTTTGTATTTTTAGAGCAGTTCAACTTCTACAAATACCCTTCCCTAGGGGAAAGCCTCTGTTTGTGGGCTGGGCAGTGGTGCATGCGAGTCAAGCGCAGGACACACCTGACGGACCAGGACTCCCGAGCGCAGTCCCCTTCTGGCTGACAGCTCGCCAAGCGCGCTTCCCCTGCGGCCGAACGCTGACAAACGGCAACTCGCGTCCGGGCTCAGCAACGCCAGAGCAGCTCGGGCGCTGCTGCCTGGCTCTAACAAACGCCTCCCTCCCGTCGCTTCCAGCGCGGGTGTGTCGAGTCCAGGCGGAACGGCTC